TTGATAGCATTTATGAGTACTTGTTTTCTCATTTTCTTGAATTCAGCTTCTGCTTCACTTGACTCCATTTCTCCATCTGAATCTCTCCCTGATGGGTAGAACTTAGTTTCTGTTGATGGAAGCTTTGAACTGGGTTTCTCAGTCCAGGCAGTTCCAGGAACCGGTACTTGGGAATCTGGTACAAGAAAATCCCAGTCAGGACAGTTGTTTGGGTTGCAAACAGGCTGAATCCAATAAATTACTCTTCCGCAGTGCTGACAATTAAGAAAACAGGTGAGCTTCAGCTTCTGACTAAGGACGTTGCTGCTGTTTGGTCAGTCAACTTGACAAGAGAAGCTCGGAATCCAACACTGCAGCTCTTGAATTCTGGCAATCTCGTCCTGATAGATTTAAGTGATGCAAACTCTGGAACTTACTTGTGGCAAAGCTTTGATTATCCATCTGATACATTGCTACTGGGGATGAAGATGGGATGGGACTTGAGAACTGGCCATGAATGACATCTCACGGCATGGAAGAACTCTGATGATCCATCTCCTGGCGACTTTTCCTGAGGAATTGAACTACACGGCAATCCTGAGTTAGTGATGAGGGAAGGGTCGCAGGAGTACTACAGGGGTGGTCCCTATAATGGCCAACGGTTTAGTGACACTGAAATTTCAGGGCTTAATGCAGTTGCTATGACTATATTTGTATTCAATGAAGAGGAGGTGTACACAAGTTATTCTCTCAAGAACAAGTCTCTGATCCCAAGGGTCTTCCTGAACCAAACTGACTACACAAGCCAGCGATACATATGGGGTGAAGATACTCAAACTTGGAATCTGTATTCATACATGCCAAGAGACTTCTGTAACATTTATGGACGTTGTGGTGCGTACAGTTATTGTGACAATACTCAACTTCCACCTTGCCAATGTTTGAAAGGATTTGAGCCTAAATTCCCAAGTAAATGGAGCTCAATGGACTGGTCTCAAGGATGTGTTAGAAAAAAGCTATTGAACTGTCAGCAAGGAGATGGTTTTATCCAATACCAAAAGTTAAAGCTGCCAGATGCTGCACAATCTTGGATAAGCAGAAGCATGAATCCCAAGGAATGCCCAACTAAATGCTTACAAAACTGTTCTTGTACGGCCTATACTAGTTTTGATATAAATGGAGATGATAGTGGTTGTGCTATTTGGTTTGGTGATCTACTTGATATTAGACAGTTTCAAATTGGTGGGCAGGGTCTATACGTCAGAATGTCTGCTTCAGAATCAGGTATGAGTTATCCTTGCTTTGAGTTTCATTTCATGAAAACTTGAAAGTGTCTCTAACAAAGCTGATTTACTCTTATGATTTTCTCCATCAAAATTGATTAAGAAGAATCAAAGAAAAAGTCTAAGATGAAGATAGCGTTGATGCTTGCAATTCCACTTGCTGTACTTTCGAGGGTGTTCATAGTCTGCTATTTCTTCCTCAAAAGGAAGAGAAGCTTGGAAGGTAACATTTCAAAC